AATCTCCTCCTGTACTTGCTGGCAGGTCATGTAAGTTCTGCAGTCTTTGATAGTATTTTTTTTTTCTTTTTTATCAAAATAGTGCACAAGGCACCTCCCTTCCTAAATTCAGATCCTAAATTCAGTTGACAACTCTAAAAGGAATCCTTTTTCAGAAAGTATAGAATACGGGTTGTCAACAAGAGAAGGTAAAGTTAGTCAATAAACCATATTCTGCTTATCTCATTTTAATCTGGAAATGATATCATTAAATAGACCTGTAGCTAAATTAGGAACCCATAAACAAGACATAACATATTTTGGACAGACTAAAGGTGTCACTAGCGCACAATAGCAGGCAGGGGAAAAATCAACTTATTTTAGTGGATGAAAGTGAATGGAAGTTGACCGATTAGAAAAAGTGACAAGTTTAGAACGGATGAAGAAGGGACACATGTCAAATAGATTTTGTGATTGACCCTCACCTTTCAGCTGTCAGTTAAACTCCAATTAGTAAACTTTTCCAGTTTGAGGACCAGGCTGTGAAGAAAGCTGCAAATCAGGTCTGGGCATTACTCAACCAAATATGGATTGTAAGGGCAACTATAGGCTTTGAATTCATCAACTATAAATTCTCAGAGCATGAATTATAGTTTTGAGAGGTGTGAACTAATCTTTCTGAATGCAATTTGTTGTCCATTCCCAATTGGCCCTTTCCCACTTTGCCCCATTGTGACTCGAATTCCAACTTTATGGTTGGATGTGGAGAGTCTTACTATTAGACTATCCCTCCCTTGTTGCCTTAAATCAAAGCTCTATTACTTAAAAACAAATACCGAATGATAGGACTCCTCAAAACCTATAGTTTATGTGATATCGCCTTTTTAAGGAGCAATGTAAACAAAGTACAGGCTTGTTACACTCCTTACTCATGTGATGCCGATATGAGCTGAGCTCGCTAACAGGTTTAGCTATAGCATGTCATTGGTATTAACTCTACTGTGTATATAATTGGGAAAGCTCCCAGGTTTTAAAAGCTTTTGCCTTTAAGTGATGGTCCTCTGGAGGAAAAATCTTTGGAAATTGGTTGACTGAGAGAAACAAAAGTAGTATCTACAAGTAATGTTCCAAGTCCACATTTTGGTGATACCTCTTTTGTCTACCATTATTCCATGCATTCTTCCCCGCGTTGATATTCTCAACTGACAAATTAGAAGCTATCTATCCATTATCCACACTCCAGACTCACATTTTCTTTAATTGTCATATTTAATCCTTGTCAGCATAATCAATAGCATTGGTAATTAAAAAGCAATTTTTCATTATCTTTTCAAGATTTGGATCTTCTCAACACCTAACAGATGGTGAAAATACCTCACCTTAGGAAGCAGTGAGACTTTTGTAATTTGACTCCTGGACTATAAGTCACTGATTTAGGCTACTGATGAAAATGTCACAGTGGTAGTTCAACAATAAGGTTTGCTTCAGTTCTTTGTAGTGCTTTTTTTTGTCATGCCAATTATTTTATGTGGTTGTTATTACAGACCTAATTAAATAAGTAAATAAAAAAAATTCTTCTCTGAAACCTTAAGCTTTAAATTTAATATTTCCCAAGCAACTCAAGCTTTTAAATGATGTGGAACTATAGAACTCATTATCAAGTTAAGTAGATAGATATCATAAGTTTAAGTCTCACCGCCAATGCTGTTGAAATATATCTCCATGATTTATGCCTTAAAAGAGGTCCTGCTGGTAAATGAAGGATAATGGTACCAGGATGTCCACACACATTTGCTCTTTCAGTGAATCAGGAAGTCGGAATATGGGATAGTTTGAGGGCTTGAGGAGGTTAGAGTCCCATCTGGTGTAGTAAGTGGGTGTTAGACCATCAAATAGTTGTGGTGGAGTGGAAGTAGGAAGTAGGGTTTCTCCATGCGAATTCAGATTTAGTCGGGCCCCAAAGCGGGTACCAGCAACCGGGTGGAAAACCAAACAAAGGTGGGTGCTTAGTGGTCACAGATGTTGCAATAGTTTCGGTGGTAGTAGCTACAATATTGCAGTTGAGTTTGCATGAAATATTATGGTGATGTATATTGTGGTTGTTGCTGATTGTGCGCTAGCAAAGAGAGGAAAAAGTGAAGAAACTAAATTAGCAGCAAAAATTTTCTTATGTCGAAGACGTCTTTTTCATTGTTATTGATATAATAAATGCTATGATATTGCTATGATCCATAACATAATATTGCCTTTTCTCCTTAAGCTGGATTGAAAAGTTGCACCTGCAGCCTTTCAGACTATATTTTCTAATTCATTGGAGATTGAATCAGTGATTAATCTGGTTTTTGAATTGTCAGTGCAGGTTTTAGGAGCTATATGGTATCTGATGGCTATCGAGAGGCACTTTTCATGCTGGAAGGATGAGTGCGAAAAGCAGCAGGAGGGTGCTCCAGCTTGTTATAAAGACTACCTTGATTGCTCATCACTTGGTAAACCTGGGCGTCAGGAGTGGTCGGAAACCACTGAGGTGTTCAAGAATTGCGATGCTAATGCCGATATAAGCTTTGAGTTTGGAATGTTTGGTGATGCAAATACTGAAGAAGTTACATCTGCTGGCATCTTTGATCGATATTTTTACTGCCTATGGTGGGGTTTAAAGAGCCTAAGGTATTCTCTTTGTTATCAAATCCTTTGTGGTCTCTCTGTCTTAATTTATTTTCTAAATTTTCTTAATTAGAAAATAGTCTGCATATCAATATAAAAAACTCTTTATCTAATGGACTTCTGCACCTCAATAAATCATTATCAAGTGGTCGAAAGATACTTCGCAAATGACATGTGGGTAGATCGTAAGTCAGGGCCTGAAAAGTTGTTCAGGAACTAGTCTTCGTGAGTCAGCTGAGAACTCTCTCTCCTCAGAAAATATTTATTTCAACTGTTGTCAGAAAACTGTAAAGCAAATTCTTCATCTTCGCAAACTTGTTTTTAAAGTTGGAGCAGAACCTAACATCAGAGTTGTGCATTTACTTAAACCAAGCATGCTGAAGATTAATATTTGTCATATACATAAACATAGTCATACGATTTTTGACCATTATATAGATAATTCGTTGTCTTATCAAAATAATAATAATAATAATAATAATAATAATAATAATAATAATAATAATAATAATAATAATCATAATTCGTTGAAGAGAAGCGTGGCTTAGACAACAGGTTTGGTCTTCCATATCCGTTCTGATATTGGACTGTTAAATAATAGCCCTCTCTCTCACTCAATTTTAAGTATCTGAGTTGCAACTTATACTTCATGTAGTCAGGTTGAAGTACTGGACCACAATTTTTACTCCTTGCGAGAAAAAAGAAAGGAGTCTTCAATGTGGCAAGAAACATTTCATCTTTTATTCTAGTATACGAACTTGTGATAGTAGGAATGTTAAATTTAATTTTCTCTTGATTTTTTCTTATGAAGAATTTTTATCCCTGCCAATCATGCGTTAGTCTGCAGGACTTTATGGAAAGCTTATAAAGCATTTCCTGATTATATACTGAATGAAAGATGGATGTTACTGTGGCATAAAAATGTGGGTGCATTGCACTAACTGTTTTGAGAACAAATAAAAATGAAAATTTAATGGCATTGTGACACAAAAAACTGTGCAACTTTCTTTGGTAATTCCTTTTTTTCTTAGCTTTCCTCGGTAATATGAATTAAGGGGCCATTTTGAAGGAAAATGTGGAGAAAAGTCCATGACCTACTAGTTTAGCTTAAATGGTGGTTCTGGGGCTAATTAGGTAGAGGCAAGGTTCGGAACTCACTGTCCTTTGTGTCACCCTGAAAAGATATTGGTGACAAGTGCAAGATATTTATCGCAAAAGTTTTTTTTTCCATATTTCATTAGGATTTATGCTTAACGGATCCCTCAATATCTTGATTTTCAGTTCATACGGACAAAGTATAACTACAAGCATAAACATTGTTGAGACGCTCTTTTCCAGTCTTATTTGTCTTCTGGGTTTGGTCTTCTTTGCACTGCTGATAGGCAACATGCAGGTATTTTCTCATGTGAAAAACTAAATTACGATGTGTTTTCTTATTCACATTTCTTCTTATTCTTTTACACTATTGCTTAGTCTCTGATGTACGTTGATGAATTTAAGCTACTGGATATTGACTAAAAGGAGGAAAACTTGGGAGTTGGACTTTAAAGTGGACAACTTGAAATAGACAATGTTGAGTTTCTTATTTCATGAAATCATACTTGTCGAAAAATCAACGAATGCATCCACCCTTGGAGAAATATAGATTTAGTAAAAGACGCTCTCAATATACCTGACAAGGACAGAGAGAGGTCAGACGAAGAGATCTTACATCATATAAGAAGCCTAGATTTTTGATAGATGCACTATGAAACACCTGAAAACTTAATAGTCTTGGTTTTCAATTGAGTTGTCAATAAGTGATGAACTTGATAAAGTAAGCGAAATAGCTAATGGGAATAGTGTTAAAAAAGATTATTAGTCCTTGTTCAAAATAAAATAAAACAAAAGCAGTATCAGCCCGTTGATTAAGTCCCTTGGTTCTTGTGGACTGATCTTGATCAATTAATGAGAATTTGCTTGAATATATCCTAACCATGTACCATGCATTAGCATCTTGGTATTTTACTCTGATAGCCCTTTACGCGTGTGTGCGTGCTCTCTCTCTCCCCTCCAGCGTGGGGGTGTGAGGTTGATTGCTCTGAATGGGAATTTAAACCATGGGACTGTACGACTAGTTCATGGACACAGAAAGCTCCTCCTTTGAGTTAGGAAACTCCTTTTCTTTTGAGTAAGTTTGTGAATGCACATACCTTAAAGTATAAAAAATTAACAGCCAAGTTTAATCTGTGCAAATGATTGTGTCCAACTTGCTGAAGTTATCCTAATCTCCAGATATCAAAGTGAGAACACTTTTTGGTTTGGGTCTGCTCTTATTTTTCACTTTTGACGGCCCTCACAACTCTTGTTTTCCATGGACCATGTGGTACAGGAAGTGGTTAGTTTCTTTTTGAACTACTAGGTGGCAGGATTCTGAAATGGTAGACAATGACATAGTTTATTTACCCATTGTTGTTCAGTATTATCTTTTGATACAACTTAACAAAGCTGAAGTTTTCTTGTTGATGACCAATGCACAGCATTACAGTAATTACTTATTTGAGTTAAGGTTGCAACTATGGCTGTTGACCTTAAATTTTATTAACTAAGAAGCTCGGACATGGGTGCGGGTGTCCGACACAGGTGCGGATATAGAGGTCGGATCCTTCGAGATGTAAATTCTTAGATTCAGGAATACGGATCCTAGTATGGATACAGTTGCAGGGATTTGGCTAAAAATAATTCGAAAAAAGAAAAAAGTAAATCTCTAAATTATGAGAAATTTGGTGTAATACTTAAGTATAGCTTGTAAAATGTGGATTTCTTTTCTTTTTTTTCCTCAAGTTATAGATAAGTAAAGGTTTGATTTGCTAGATAAGGTATGCTATTTTATTCGAATTTACCCTAGTTGTGGTTTTGATTTCGGGAATCACATTGTATCTCGTCTCGAATTTTTCATCCGTCGTGGTCAAAGTACCCAAAATTACTTGACCAGATCCGGTAAGGATCTCATACCCACACCCATACTAGTGTCGTGTCGACACGGGTGCGGCACCTAAACTGCCTTGTCGGAGCAACATTTGACAAATTCATTGCTAGTGACTTGTGTACTTGTTCATCAAATAAGGATCCAGGTTATGTCCATCAAATACGTCTTTTTCTTTTGGGGGCTCTGGGGTGGGGATGGGGGGTGCAAACGGGGAACTACTTCAGAGGGAATGAATATCTTGTTGAATTTGTAAGTGACACTGCTTCTACTGTTGTATTTTGTGAAGAGCTATCTACAATCCATGACAGCAAGACTTGAACAATGGAGAGTTAAAAGAAGGGACACAGAAGAGTGGATGAGGCACCGTCAACTGCCTGAAGATCTGCAAGATCGTGTTCGTCGGTTTGTTCAGTATAAATGGGTAGCTACAAGAGGTGTAGAGGAAGAAGAAATATTGCGTTCCTTACCCTTGGATCTAAGGCGCCAGATTCAGAGGCACCTCTGCCTGGCTCTTGTTCGTCGTGTAAGTTTTTCCGTGTCATTATTGTTTTGTACTTTCTCAAAGGGGAACATTGCGATCATTCGGAGCCGTGTAGTTTGGTCTTCCTTTTTTGTTGGCTAAAAATACTTCGTAGCTTAACTTTCTGTGGAGAGCTTCTATTCTTGAGGTGGGTCTCTTGTTAAGCATGCGTTGGCAATTGCTCTACGATGCAGTTTATGGATATGCAGCTTTGCTCTCTTTATTGCGCACATTTTTGCACCAAACAATAGAGTAGCACATGGTTAACGAAATCTGCATAGCTAGTTTTAAGACTCAACTTTTGTGAAATAAATAGCAAAAATCTTCTTTTCTACTGATTTCAGTTGTATAAACCATCTGTCTTGACCTCATCTAAGAAAGAAAAAAAAATGACAACCATCTGTTTTGAACTTCCAAGATTTTCTTACGGTTCTCATATTTAGTAACCTCATGCTTGCTGGATTTTACAGGTCCCTTTCTTCTCCCAGATGGATGATCAGCTGTTAGATGCAATATGCGAATGCCTTGTTTCATCATTGAACACGAAAGACACGTATATTGTTCGGGAAGGAGATCCGGTGAATGAGATGCTTTTCATAATTAGAGGTGAACTTGAGAGTTCAACAACTAATGGAGGAAGGTCAGGCTTCTTCAACTCCATTACGTTAAAGCAGGGTGATTTTTGTGGAGAAGAGTTGCTAACATGGGCCTTAGTGCCTAATCCAAATGTTAATCTTCCAATTTCAACTCGAACAGTGAAATGCCTTAAAGAAGTTGAAGCATTTGCACTTAAAGCTGAAAAGCTCAAGTTTGTTGCAAACCAGTTCAGACGCCTCCATAGTAAGAAATTACAGCATGCATTCCGGTTCTACTCACACCAATGGAGGACATGGGGAGCTTGCTACATACAAGCTGCATGGAGACGCTATCGGAGGAAAAAACTAGCGGAGGAATTGTCAAGAGAAGAAAGCCTGTACTTCTCACGAGGGATGGACCAAGATGATGATTATGGTCATGAATATCCAGAAGCTGGTTATGACGGTGGAAATGCTTCGGATCATGCAACAGAAAGCAGTATTCAGCATCTTGGAGCTACAATATTGGCATCAAGATTTGCTGCTAACACCAGAAGAGGCAAGGTGGCACGGGTGGACCCTGGTGAATCCAGCTTACGTATGCCTAAACTCTTTAAGCCTGACGAGCCTGATTTTTCTGATGATCAAAGATGAACGCCATAGTCACTGATGAATCAGTTCTTGTTTTTGGATCGAAGTTAGAGTTAGTCTTTGGGCTGCTTGTTGCCCTGTTACTTGTTCACAGGTCACCTTTTGATGTTTCTTGTTATCCAAAAGAAACCGTTACTACCAATTGATTCACTACTACATAGTGGTTAACTACTTCACAAATGTAAATTAATTGCTTGCTTTAATCATAAGGGCATCGTAAGTGACACCCCTTGGTTTCATGTAGTGAATAACCATAGTCAGACAGTCTGAATATTACTTAATGTGAAATAACAATGTTGATTGGTGAATGGAACACAACATACAAACATTAAACATATGCATTTATATATGCACACTATAAAAACATTAACATTTTTTGTTCTTTCTATATGGAGGCTTGCAGTGACTTCTATAACAGTATTAGTTTCTCTCAGAAAAGGGGAGATGAAGAATGAAGGAGGTAAACAAACAAGAGAAAATGAGGCTATAATTCTCTTTTACTGGTGGGTGAAGTTACTTCCTAGAAAAGGTGTTTCTTGAAGCATACAAATTCATATTGTTAAATTCTGATTTTCACCTTTGGCATTTATTGTTGTGGCAACCTATATTTCCTTTTCTCATCAGTTAATAAAATGATAAATTTTAATTTTACTGTAAATAACTTCAAATTAAAAACAAAGCAACTTGATTTTCCTTCTCTGTGAAAAGAATGTTGAGTTTGACAATTAACTTGCAAATGAAAGTGGAAAAAACGATTTTTCATTTTTTCCCTGTAAAATCAATTGTTACTTTTAAAAATCCCTAGTATTTGATAGGACAAAGTTAGTTAAAAATTTAAAATAAATAAGTTCTAATATGAAAAAAGAGGTAAGATAACTAGAGTCCCCGAGTGTAATTCCGAAAAAAATACTCTGAAAACTACAGTCAAAAGCAACAACCGTGTGTTCTTTCCTAATACCCAGCTTTATACACTATCAAATCAAATACTTTCCTATTTTTCCTAAACTCCGTTCTTTCCTAAAAAATTAGTCTTTTCGCGTGAATTTATTTTAGAAACCTAATTTATTTATAAAGAACCTTAACATTAGCCTCCGCTGCTGCACTCTTTCAGGTTCTTCTTCCATAGTAGTAATAATTCATTCTTTCTTCTCCCTCTGTTTTCACTGCGAATTTATATTTTCTTTGTTCTCTCTGTATTTTCACAGCAGAGTCAATCTGTGACTCATTGAAAGAAAACTAGCAGATCATCGATAATTCAAGGGTTGTTTTTTCTTGTGATTCTTTTCTCCTTCTTGTTTTAATTTCTTTATTAATAATAGCAAATCAAAGACCGTCATGTCGATGGTATCACAGCTTCCCAGTGTTCGATTTTACCCTACCGATGCAGAGTTGATCTACTTTCTGAAAAAGTTTTTGAAGGGTGAGTCTTTGCCCAGTGAATGCCCTATTCGACTTGGGGAAATCTATGGAGACCGGCCACCATGGGAGATTTCTGATCAACCTGAAGAGAAAATAGGCTACTTTATTTCTCCTTTGAAGAAGCGGAAGGAATCACATAAATGTTTCGCCGAACTTGCGCTAACGGGACATGGAAAGCCCAAATCGGCGGTGATCCTATCAAGAATAGTAAGGGAGCTGTTGTGGGATTCAGAAAAAATTATGTTTATCGAACTAGGAGTAGTAAAGGATCAAAGCAAGATAAAATTAATTGGCTGATGAGAGAATATTACGTGGGGGATGATTACTTCTGGGAAAATAATATTCCTAAACAAGATACTGTTCTCTGCCGAATAAAGAAGAACATAACAGAGAGAAATAGGAAGAATGGGGTTAATATGGAGGAACAAGAAGTTGCTCAAGCAATAGAAGCTATGTTGTGAACCTGACTACAACAGTTCACAATCAGCAACAATTTCCCAACGACATCAGCTTATGAAGGCAGAGTATGCTGAACAACAGGATAATTATTTGAGAGGACTTAACAAAAATAGCCAAATTTTGACCACTTATGACAGAGATGAAACTACAATGGAGAATCATGGGTCCAACACCAACAGAGTGCTCGTGATGACAGAAGAAGCAAATACAGCAGCGAGGGGATAAGAAGAATCAGATGGTCAATTATCCTTGCCTGGTATTCACGAGCAATATTGTGCTGAAGCTGATCTTAACACAGATAACAGTGACTTCTCATATCTTAACGCAGATAACAGTGACTTTTTGGAACTAGCACTAATGAATGGAATAAAAGACATTGTTCTAGATGATTGGTGGCACCAATTCTACTAGATAGATAAGCATGTAAAAAGTTAACTTCTGATGTTTGTGTGTGGCGTACAGGTGAGGTGACGATTACCTATGCGCCACCAAATTATCTATTTATCTATTCCCTTCCCCGTTCCAAATATATTGTTTTCATGTCTTAACTTCTACATGCTTATTGGTGTTTCCATGTTTAATTTCTTTTTGATAGATGTTGTTTTCCTTATTGAAGGTATTAGATGTTCCGTAGTTCATTGTATCTCATTATTGCCTTAAGTTGGCCTATCGGTATTTCATGGAACATTTTGGTTGGTCTCGTTGTGTAGCATTAATTGATGAATTTTCATACTTGTATAGATTTCCGTTTGTTTTGGTTTGAGGCACAAATATTGTAGAGGGATTTGAGCTAAATTGTGAAATACTTGTTCTTATGGTATGATTTTTACTGATATAGTGGGATCGGGTTGCATGCCGCAATAGGAGGAATAAGGGTGAAATATGATTGTCTGGTGGAATCGGGTTGTACGCCGCAACATGAGTAATAAGGGTGGACAGGTGGGATCGAGTGTCACGCTGCAACAGTAGGAATAAGGGTGATATATTGAGGAGAAATAAGGGTGGACTGGTGGGATCGGGTTGCATGCCGCAACAGAAGTAATAAGGGTGAATGTTCATATTGTTACTAGTTATATGATGGGATCGGGATACGCGCCGCATCATTTGTTGTTTATGTATTCTTCTTCTGCTGTGATTTATTCCTGTAGTAATGTATCTCTCTTAAGGATGGGTTATAGCTAAGTACTGGCAAGATAATTGGGTTCCGTATTTATTTTGTTGCAAGTTACTGCTCCAATTCGTGCCGTATTTTCTTTTTGCTTTATTATATATTGTTACAGGTTATATTGTATATGCCCTGCCGTAGCCTCGTCGCTACCTCGTCGAGGTTAGTGATGACGTCCAAATCCACTACTAAAAAGTAAATGGACACGGTCGCATGCAATATAATTTAGCCAACTATGAGTCGGGGTCGAATTCTACAAGGAACAATATGTAGGCGATTAGGAATGTAAGAGAATTATCACTTGTTATGCAATGCCAAACACTAAGAATTGTTTTGAGAAAAATATTTATATCTAAATGCGGAAATGTAAACTAACCTAGAAAGCAAGTAAAATGATCAATGTCTACAAGTATGGATGCATCGGGAATTACACTCAAGTAATGATCCAATGTATTTTACGATTTTACAATTATGAGCGAGTTTATGTTAATTAGCCACGGGTAATAATTCTATATTAGCTTCTTCCAAAGACTAACAAGACTTCCTAGTTGAATTATCCCTAAAACAATTAATAGATTAAGCACACCCGGATATGGCTACAAGTAGTTCAATCTTATCCTTAAGTAGAATCTATAAAATGAGGGTTAAAACCTCAAGTTCTTGTTAATTAATCTTTTCCAACCCCGCATAATCTTTCCCAAAATTAATTCGGAGTTAATAGGCGAGTCCTAGGGTTATCTAATCCCTTTGGAAACATTATAGAACAAGAATAATTAAAGTAACAATAACTCACTTCATAAAATAATAAAAATCATTCAATACATAAGCACAACAAGGTATTTAATCCACACTTTAAATATGATTATTTCCATAAACAAGATTCAAGTATTGAATGAAATACTACACACTTAGATATACAATACAAAGCAAGAAAATGAAGAAATGAATATAAATGGGTAAGAAATTCTCAACCAAAAGCTTCAAATCTTCAAGACCAAAGTGTGTGTGCAAACCCTAGCTTCGAACCTTGTTCTCTCTAGTGTTTTGAACTAAAAATAAGCCAAAGATCCCTCTACAAATGAGTTGTTTTGTGTATTAAATGGTTTGGGGTTGAGAACATGTGAAATACCTAAAATGCCCAGGTCTGATACCCGTTGACCGCACCCGGGGAAGAATACTCGCAGGTGCGGCTCCGCAGATGCGGATAGCCCATCGCAGAAGCAGAAGGTGAAGCTGAGTGCTGGATCCGCAAATGCGGTATTTCAAGCACAGATGCGTAACCACTTCTGCGGTTCTTGACTCGCAGGTGCGATTCCAGGAAAAAATGTTCAGTTCCGCAGATGCGGACTTCTTCCCGCAGGTGCGAGATCACTTCTGCGATCTGTGTTCCACAGATGCGGAATTCCTGGAGAGTTTTGTACTCTTTCAACCAATTTTTGCTCAATTCTACTTCAATTCAACGCAAAGCACTTCATGACATCATTTTCCTGAAAGTCGAACAAAACATACTATAAACGACCTCATGTTATCATTAAAGGATGCAAAATCTAACGAAAAAAGGCTAAAATAACTGGTAAAATTACCACTCATCAACACCCCCAACTTAAAGCTTTTGCTCGTCCTCAAGTAAATCAAAACCAACAATTTAATGAGGTTCTACCATTTAAAGCACAAGTCATATTGCTAGCATTTTCAAATCACATTCTCCAATTAAGCATTATACTCATGGATTTGGTTGATACTAATAATTAGGCTCAAGTGTGTGCATCTTTCTCGAATAACTCCCTCATTTAAATACAACTTCAAGAAGTTCAAGGGAGTTTCAAAATAATCAAGTGACTAGAATAAGCCTCAAGAAGTGACTCAAAAGCACTAGTCCACTACATATGCTCAACTTACTCATTTCCGGGTGTATCAATTTCACCAATCAATCCTAATTCATGTGCCCTCACAAGAAAGAAAGTCCCCAAACCACTATATTTACAATGCAACATAAGGGACAAATTGACAAAGACACTCACAAAGAATTTCAAGTGTTACAACATCTCATGCCATAAGCTTGCCCTTATTTTAATTCATCGCCTATTCAAGAACATTAGGTTGGAGATCCCATAAGGACTTTTTAAGCTTATAATGTAGGTTTAGGGAAGGGTCGGATAAGCATTTGGGATACAAGTGACTACACCCTCCTTGAAC